TGTACATACATTCAAAAAACCCTCGACATGAGCCATAACTCTATCCTCCAGGGAAGGTACCTGCAGTACCACTTCTTCTCCCCATCCACAGTCCTTCCTAACCATCTCGAGATGTTCCACCCCTATTGAGGAGATGAACCTCAATTCATTCCCCCGATGGCCTTGAACATTGGGCGGTCTCTCCAATGTAAAGTCTCTCCTCAAGACAAACAACCTCGAGGTCAGCTCACCAGATATCGGCAGTGTACTACCGATCGAGCACGAAATGGAGGCAGAACTCTCCTCTCTTTGATGAACGGATTTTAATGTAGTATCCATGGCTACGGTAAAAGAAGAAGAGGAGGATGAAGACTTGGGTGAAACCTTTTAGTTGAAATGATAAGACATCTAGCACAAAGAATAAGAGTTCTATAAGAGAAATAGTTACTCAGATTAGCGGAATCCTCAGTTAAGAAACAAGCAAATGCATATATAGGGGTAAGCAGCGACTGTTCGACTATCCTGAAGACCAATTAGTTCTGACCATGTCTGTGCCACTTTTTTGGGAAATGTACCGGTGGGACCACCACGGCCGCTTCACGACTGTGTCGCATAAACGACTCTATCACACAGCGCCCGGGAGATGTTGAGGCCCCAAGGATTTTTTTTATTATAAGCATCGATTCCAAAAAGCTATCGACCTAATCTCGAGATGGTGCCCGATCTCGAGGGTCCCGATTGCCCCAAATATGGACTCCTAAGAGTGGACATCAAAATTCAAAGGCTAAACTCTGCGTGATCGTTGAAAAATAACGAATTCAAGACTGGAAGTAGACATATTTTCTTAAATTGCCAAAATATGTTTATAGGGGGAATCTTTACAAGACCTTTTTCCCCGGGAAATACATACACAAAAAGAAAAAAGATAAACAAAGACAACGTAGGTCAACTTTTCACCACCACTGCACTCTGAACCATCTCCGGGATCCTCATCCGAAGTGGCCGAGAATGCCAATTCTTCCTCAAAATCTTGCGCCTCCTCGATCTCAGCCGAGAGATCGACACTTTTAGCGCTGACTTTGTCTAGGGTCTTCCTCATTGCCTTTGCACGAGTGTAAGCGATGGTCCGAGCCAGTTTTTGCTCGGCCTTCTCTGATATCTCTCTAGCTAGTTTAGTCGCAGTAGTGACATCTTTCAGGTATGTAGCGGCATTCTCTTCGGCCTTGGACTTGGCCGCGGATAGTGAAGCAGCCTCTTCCCGAGCATTTCGAAGAAGTCTTTGGGCCGATGTCAACTCCGAAGTCATGACCTTATTTTGCCTTCTTAGCTCAAGGATATCCGCATTCGTAGCAGCAACTTCTTCCCAAAGTCACACCGCAAGAGCATCCTTCTACCCAATCTACAAAGGAAAAGATAAGTCGGTAAGCACCGAATTGTGAGGATGATGAACGAGTTAAGGAATACCGAATTACCTGCTCAATGAGGCCAGCCCTTTCTCAGAGCACTCCCTCCAAATTTTCTCGAAGCTCGCTTAACTCCTCCACCGTTCGGGCAGAGGAGGCCTCTGACTCCTTCAGTCCCGAGGTAAGCTTCTCGAGCTCCTTTCCACGGCATGAAAGCTCGTCTTGGAGCCTAGAGAAGGCATGATTGTACATCTTCTTAGCCTACAAAAAAATAGAAGAGTCATAAAACGAGGAAAAATATTTGAGACATCAAAAGTATACATAAAAAAGGAATCACCTGCTGCTGGAGCTTCTCCGCTTCCTCGATAGCATTGGGAGCATCGAGATCAATGTCCTCGCTAACACCATCGAAGAAGTTTACAAGCACATCTCCTCCCTCATGAGGGCCCCCCACATTGGTGATACTTGGGTCCTGCGCATCCTTGAATTCCTTGGGCGAGAATCGAGGATCCGAATTAAGGCCACCCAGGATATCGATATCTCTAAAGGGAAATCCTGTCCTTGAGAAGCTCCGGGCCCAGGCCCTTCAGGGTCATCAACAACGGGTTCCTCGATAGGGACTGTACCGCGTCCGTTTGGGAACTCGAGGACCATATCCATTCCTTCCTCGACCGCTCCCGATTCAGAGGCACTCAGCCCAGCCACCTGCAGGGCATCCGTGCCCGACCTCGTCCTTTATACCAAATGGTACTCATCATCATCGTCGTCTTCATCCCCAGTACTGGGACTTGCTCCAAAAGCAGAAGTCGAGACCTTGACAGCAGCTCGAGGCCTGCATTATTTGGGCTTCTTTGACACAAGAGATTTAGCAGCTGCCTTTTTCTTCCTCTTCTTGCCCTTTTTGGGCTTCGGGGCCCCTTCCTCGCTGTTGGGAGGCGGTCTCATCAGCATTCCATCACCAAGACCTACGCAAGCATAATAATCAAAGCTTATCCATGGGAAAGTGATAATTGAAACATGGTACAGGCAACAACAGAGGCTTACCGTGATTCTTGGCCGGCCACCACGTTTTAGCCATGTCGGGCCAAGACCACTCAAGATAAGGGAACGAAGTATCCAATTGCCTAATCCATCACGATAGGTCCTGGAACACTTCAGGATACCAAATGGTAGCTGCATAAACAAAGGGAAGATCATTTTTTGAGAAGAAGGTAAGAAGACATTAAAGCATGTTCGAAGGAGAAGTACTTACGCTTCATATTCCACTCCTCCAGGAATGGCATCCTTTTGGCCGGGATGATGTCTGAGGTCCTCACTTGAACAAACCTACTCATCCATCCTCGATACTTGTTCTCATCAATGCTCGAGAAAAACGGCATCGTGGATCGAGGGTGAAGCTTGATCAGACCTCGAAAGAGATAAGGGCTATATAGTCTAATCAAGTAGTCAAGGGTGAAAGTCATGACCACGACCTTACTGGAAAAATATCGTAGCATATAGACTATCATCCTGAAAGATGGATAAATTTGGCCAAGCGTCACTTTATACTTATGGAAGAAGTCGAGAATAACCGGATCTATCGCCGGAGAAGAAGGATCTGAAGAATCAACGGGGCCCAAAGTGAATGGGTATGTATATACATGAAGAAAGCCAGCCTTATGATCTATTATGCTCTCTTTAGAGCTAGGAATCTCAACCAGCATTGTCCTCTCCCATCGACAGTCGTCCCTCACTTTTTGTATATTAGTCAGGACGCCGATATACCAGGACACATGTTCGCATCGGCCCGACATAGATAAGGGTGTCTTGATAGAAAAATCATTCACAGTATCAAACTCGGTAGGGGTACACTGTACAATAGTGGGTGTCACTTTGGGTTTGCCGTTGGATGTTCGAGACGAAAATGTGGTATCCTCTTTTCGAGGCACTATTTTAGAGGTTCTAGCCATGGTGATGGAAAGGCCTTTCTGAGAAAGTAAGTAAGAAACCAAGAACGGAAGAAGGAAGAACGTGAAAGGGGATGGCCTTGGCTCTGAAAGCTTGAAGATGTTATAAAAGTGTGAATCATTAAACGATTGAGGTATTTATAGAAGACATATGGGGCAGCGGAAAAGATGAACCAATAGCGGTTCATGGACTTCTCAATAGTCCTGTTGACAGCGACATGTGCACGGCTTTTTGAGTTATGGCATTTAATGCTCTGATAAGCCGACGTCATGATGATTGTTCCTAAGGAGTAGGAGTTCAAAACTGTTTCCTATCATTTTATTCTAGGAAACACGATGACTATCTGTATACGGTAAATATCAGCAGTTCAATGTTACGATCATCAAGGTGCCTTATAGAGACTACCCCTAGAAGGCTCGAAGTTCAGTCAGGGCTCCGACCCCGAGGGTTCTCAGTGATAGACTTCGAGGTAGCGTAAACAACGATCGGCTTCGATGCAGTGTAAATCAGCGGCTACAGTGGATCGATGTGAGGTTCCTAAGGCATGTGACTAGGGCTGACAAAGTCTATTAAGCTGGTCCAAACTTGTATCATGTCATTAAATGGCTGTACCAGTCCAATATCTTTGTAATAAATGCATTTGTACTATGTTGGGATTCCCTCTCCCCTATATATAAAGGGGCTTCTTGTCATTTTGTGGACACATCTGATACACAATATTGAATACATAAGAACATTCTCTCTGCTCTCTAACTTAACATATCCCCTTGATTTCACTACTTATATTTAGTGTTTACCTTTATTGTGTTCTATTTGTTGTTCTTCATTTATTGCTCATCATTGATCGTAAAGAGTCGCCATCAAATCTATTATAACTGTTAATCCTCCACCGACTGCCCTTAGTCGAGTATCCGACTCGACCTCGAAGCCCTGTATACGCCAGCTCGAGGCCCCAGTTTTTAGTCATTCGGTTTGATTATTACATTGTTTTCAAGCTATTATCTAGTTTCCAAGTCTTTCACTTAGAATTAATTGTCTAACAACTAGAATTAAAACATATCACGTATTTTTAGAACCACAAAATCAAATCTAATTATTATTACAATTTTCGTGGTAAACATACTTCATAGTTAAGAAACTGTCTACTTTCTGTATTTAAATATTAAGTATCAAGTAAGATTGATAAATTACTTTCCTAATAGTTATAACTCATGGGACAGTGATCGGAAGCCGTGAGTTTGAGTTATTTAACTAGTAGTGGACTATTTTGTGGGCTGTCTCGTGTTGCTTTTGGGCTGTCTATTTTGCTGATGTTTTGTGGAGTTTTGGAGGATAAAAGATGTGGAGAAACACCAAATAATGATAGAATGGTGGGCTTGTCATTCATCATTACATTTTTAGGTTGTTTGACACTACTTTTGTTATCGTTTTATGTATGGAGTGATTAGGGTGTGTGGGCTATTTTGTGATATATTGGGATGGATATAAGGTTGGAAAATGCTGCATACATGTTGTTATTTTTTTGTTCTTGGTGTTGTTGGTATATTGTATTAGAGGAGGGCCTTGTTACAGGGGAGGTGCTGCCCAAATTTATGTAAACGAGCTACTAGTTTAAGTTATGAAATTAGCCTATACTCAGCACTGATTTTGAATCTCCTTATGTTGTGGTAGATTGAGCTGAGTTGTTTGAAGAATTGGAAGGTATCAAAGACTCAACAGAGTTAAGGTATGTTAAGGCTAAACCTTTCCTCCATTTTGGCATGACCCAATAACTACATGTGTTTGATAACGAGACATAAAAAGAAGTTCATATTCCTGAATTTATGTACATTTTCCTAGTCTCATAAGTTACAACATTCTCCCTTATCAAGACTTCATATTCAGTTTAGTTTTGTCTTCTTTCAGCCAAGAGAGCAGATAGTGTATGTATGTGTATATATATATATATAGATATAGAGAGAGAGAGTATTACAGTATTTTCACCACCATCGAGCTATAACAAATGGGTAGGCCCCTATTCGGCAACCTCTGATCAAATGGGGAATTATATACCGAGTCTACTATGGTCGAGCGCCTATCAGCGAGCCTAGAATGGCCGAGATAGATAGCCTAGTATGGCTGAGTGCCTATTAGCAAGCCTACTACGGCAGAGCAGTTACACATACCGAGCCTTATGAGGCCGGACAGCTATTTTACTTACTGTATTGTGAGAGTTGAGTCAGTATCAGTAGGTAAGCATATCTTCAGATTATCTTTGACTCCCAGTTACTTTTAGTTATTATATTATTATTTCAGTTTCAGCTTTCAGTTATTCTGTTGCCTTACATACTCGGTACATTATTTCGTACTGACGTCCCTTTTGCTGGGGACGCTACATTTCATGCCTGCAGGTCCTGATAGACAGCTTGATAGACCTTTGCAGTAGACAGAGTTAGACATCAGCTTGGTTGGTAAGCTCCACTTCCTCGAAGTTACCAGGTCTAGACCTTGGAGTACATTTTATATATACAGATTTGATGGGTAGTTCGAGGCCCTGTCCAAACCATGGTATAGTTCAGTTATCTCTAGAGGCTTGTAGATGAGTCCTTTATATTTTGTATATCAGTAGATGTTCATGGCATCTTGTCGACCTACACAATTATATGTATCAGCCTTTGGGTATGTTTACTCCACAGGTGAGAGAGGCATTATTTTCAGACAATTCAGAATATGGCTTCATCAGCCTAAGTTGAGGATTACCCCTTTAGAGTTTATAGTTATAGAGTGGTACGCTCTGGTCGAGCATGGAACCAGGTGTCGGCCACGCCTCTTCGGGTTTGGGGCATGACAAACTTGTTATTAGAGCAGTTCTATCCTATAGAGTCTACAAGTCGTGTCTAGTAGAGCCTTGTTTATAGATGTGTTATGCACCACATTATATAAACAAGAAGCCACAACGCATTTAGGAGTATGTTATCCTTTTTTCAAATCTACATCGTGCTATAAAGCCGAGTCATAAGAGTTAGAGCCAAGACTTTTGTTTGCTAATTATAGAGATGCTTGTAATTTGAAAAATTACAACTAGCCAGAGGGTTAATATAGCAACAGGTAAGGGCACTAGTAGAGAGAGAATTCTTGACAATGTGGCCCAGTTTGAGGCCCTATTAGGTCGTGCATACTAGATGTGAGGATTTCCTACTTAATACCCTAAGACGGGAATGTCTAATATACCCCGTGAATAGCAGGCCATGGGAGTATTAGAATGTAAAAGTATAAGTTTCAACAGATAACAAAAGCAAGGTAAAGAATGGTACGAGGCACCCAATTAATGAAGATTATCCAAATTTTCAATTCAGGTAGAGAAATATAAGGCTTTAAGTTACCTTCAACGGAAATAAAGGTACGTACAATTGGCCATACTCATCTCATTTATGCCCTATGGGAGCTAACATATATAGTTTAAGAGAAGATGGAATATTAGGATCCATCTTGGGTTAGAGTAATCCATAATGGTGGAATAAGCTAGGTGAGCTAAAAAAGTGAAACAATGTTTTGTTGTGATTTTCATAATAATGTGATAGACAAAAATATTAGCAGGAGAATAAGAAGAAAGTAAATGAAGCATTATACGTAAAGTATGATAAATGAGTGATAATGGTAAATGAAAATATAGTAGGAAGACAGAGTCTATGGTCAAGTGAAGGAAAATACAAGAGGTGACAAACCTTGAGACAATAAAAGAGTATAAGCCATGAAGTCATATCCTTATTTCAAGAAAATGAGTTGTTGACTCCAACATAATTACGAGAAGACTAAGTTAGACCCCCGCCCCAAGTAACTGAAATCAGCATAGGTTAGTAAACAAGATAAATCGAACATGAATTAGGGATAAGAGTATTTGATGATAGTCGACATTGTGAGATCTTCAGAGACTATGTTCTGACAAAAATAGAATGGACAATGGAAGAATAACCTTTAAAGGTCATTCAAGAAAACGCTTCCCTAAAGCAAGCAATGTGAGCAGAGTTATGCTTAAGGGACTAAGTGTGCCAGTTACACTGGGTGACTCGCACGTAAGAAATTCATTTATCCTTGGTATAGAAGGGTTACGGTAAGGTGAGTAAGAGTCAGTGAAGATGAGAAAACATGCCAAAGATGAAGAGGTAAACCATATATAGGTAAATCTTCATAGCATTAAATGCTAGTACTCCCCTAAAAGGGAGAAGACGGTATGATATGGTAGTAAGTCGGAGTTATATAAATTCAAGTAACTATGGAATAGTAAAGGAAGAATGCGGTAAAAAGGCGAAAGGAGTGAGATTGAATTTATTCAGATCCTATAGATATGTTACGACTCCAGAACATTATTCAAGCACGATGTCGGGAGAGGCAGTAATGATTCCACAACATTATTCAAGCATGATGTTGGGAGAGCCAGTAAGGATTCCCTCTATCACGCCCCAAGCTCGGAGAGCGTGACCGGCGCTCAACCGAGTGAACCCGGCCGAGCAAGCTTGTTGACACTTCTTATCCAACTCACTTACGATAAAAAGAACAGAAATCCAAAGCATAACATAATTCATTGACCTTCCCAACACCCATACACAACCCACAAAAATGTCTACAGAGCCTCTACGTAGATATAAAGAAAGTTCTACAAAAGTGTCAGCAACAAGGCCTAGGTTATACCTCAAAATATGGTGAGAAGGTGAACATAAGATACAAAAGATATAGGTCCCCGAAATAATGTGGGGGCTCACCAAGTTAGCTAGAAAGAGGACGTGCCACTAGCTGCAATCAACACTGTCTACTACGGAACCACCTATATCCATTAAAAAATGTAGCGCCCCTGGCAAAAGGGACGTTAGTACTGTCGAATAGTACTATTATGTAATACAAAACACCAATCTTAATAGAATGAATAATGAAAAGAAGGAATGCAGTCATAATATACAATAAGAGCTTCAAACACTTATGAAAACATCAAGTAAGGATCACACAATTTCTGGTTAAGTTTCCAACTTATTTAAGTTTGATAATCTCAGTACCACGTGCCACTTGCCACAATCCACAATACCACCATGTTCTTACATGGAGTCCGATCTTAACTCGACCAGCTAGGTCATCTCATTTGATACATCAACCATTTCCGCAATTTCAATCAATCAGTCCAGCACAATTACCACCATGTGTGCGGCATGGTGTCCGATTATGGCCCGATCGGCTAGGCCATCTCAGTTGACACATCAACCATTCAATCGTTCATCTCAATTCATATGTCCTTCCCATCTTTCATTACATGGCACGAGTGGCCTCATTTATTAAATTCTTATTGGCACTTGGCCATATCATACAATTCAAGTTTCCCTTTTTATATATATTCAAATAACATTTTCATCCACATCAATAAGGCTTACCATGTAAAGCACCACATAAACATGGGGAAGGCATGGAAATTTTTATCATACAAAGGCTTTTCGTACAAATAGCATAGCAAACTTTATTTGACTCTTGACATGAACTCTTGACCTTTCACAACATATATATTACACATTTAAACACATTCTCAAATAGCATGACGACATGATAAACATTTAGAACAATCATTGAACATAAATCTTTCAACACAACACTTTTGGGCAACTATTCTAGTATGACCAATTCAGGGACTTACACCAATTACACGTACACCAGGGGTTTGATTCTAAGAAGAAGAGGGTTTAGCCATACATACCTTAATTGAGCTTTTCCTTAGTTCCTACAATGTTCCAGAATGTTCGCAAATTCAATGATGAAAGACACTTCCTCTCTCTTAGACAACTCTAAAAGTACCACGAAATAGGCTTAAAATGAGACATTGCATAAGTTATAACGACAAGTGATCGGGTTTAAAAATTAGGAATCTAGGGCCCCGATACGGATTATATTATGCGGCCCGCAAAGTGACCGCAAAAGTAGCCCTTAGGGGCTTGAAGTTTATGCCCAGGTCTGCGACCAGTATGTAGTCCGCATACCTATTCTGCGATTGCTTAATGCACCGCAGAACTTCCCTTCGCAAAATTCCAAGACGATTATGCGATCAATACGCGTCCCGCAAAGCGATTATGCGATCGCATAATTGGCCGCATAACTGGCCTCAAAATTGTCCAAGTTTTCTGCCTCACTCTGTGACCAATATGCGGTCCGCAGAGTGATTATGCGGCTGCATAATGGATCGCAGAAATGCATTCTTTTGTGAATATTTTCCTTTAACTTTTTAATGCACAGTTCAATCCAGAAAGCCGCAAAGAATTACATGAATCTCTAACACATAATCCTAACTTGGCATCACGATATCCCGGTTTTTAGGAAGAATTTTATAGGGCCTTACACCCTCCCAGGATGTTCTTGATAACAAAGTGTGAATGAACACTTGATAGATAAGGAGCTAGTACGAGAGGTAAGTTAAGACAAAGGAAACAACCCAAGAGAGATAACGCGAGATATAGATATGAGAATGGACCAACGAGTAGTTAGTAGTTGATTCAGGAAGAGCCTAGTTATGGCTAGACAAGAGGATACAGATAAATCAGCAGGTCGTGCAAGATAAACCTAGTGAACCCCAGCCTAGGGAATTCAGTCTCATAGATATGACATTGTAATCCTTGAGAAATACTCAGATAAGAGTTGAGGTAGTTATAGTTTCCATAAAAGTGTTATGAAAATAAAAGAGAGTGCCACGGGGGAGATAAAAAAATTTGAGTTCAGAAGTAACCTTATGAGAACAAGGCACGAAGGTATGTAACATAGAATATTTATGGGTGAGTAAAAACATCAAAAATTCCGTGAGGTATATGATGGGATAAGCTCATAGGTTTACAAGAGTCAAAGAGTCTTCCCTAAGTGCTACAACGAAAGACTAGCTGAGAAAATAAGGAAGTAGGCTTCAAACTAAGCATAGTGACCTAAAGAAGAAATTATCTTCTAACAACAGTCTCACTACGACATTTTATTCACTCCATAACAAAGTGGCACCTGTCGTAACTAAGGAACGGGAAGTAAAAGCCCAAGTAATATTTGAGATCATATGAGTTGCATAAAATTCCAATATATGTGGGCACTAAGATAAGCCAAGTACTCATGCACCAAGTGGCAGAACGACCAAGAAAGGTAATTTCTTACTTTTAACAAAAGCTAAAAAGGCACGAAAGGAATTATTTGATCTATCACCCAAAGTTAGATACATTATAAACATACATAAGATTTCAGAGTGTTATCCATGAAGCATATATGTTGACAATGATACAGCTATAGGAGACTCCATCATATGTTAAAATAAAGAATTGAGTCCACATCACAGACAAAAGCTTGAATTGCTAGAAGGTGATATCATGGATGTTCCATAGCGTCCACAAGGGGATAATGTAATAACTAATACCCTGAGCTGCAGATCAGAAGATAAAGTAAGCCTACTTAAAGGCTGGGATAGAAG